CCTCGGACTCACCGAATTGATTGACACTTTTCACTCTAAACCTTACTGTGGTGTCTGCGTCCAGATTCTTAACCTTAACTATCGTTTTGGCTGTCTGTCCCACTTTCTGCCATATAGACTCCTTTCCCTTGTATTGCTTCTCAATGGTGTAATTGACAGGACTTTCGCATTCATCTACCGGTGCTTTCCATAGGATTATAACTTGACCCTGTAGCTAAACATTCATTTGAATAATAAAACAAACAGAATATTCTAACATTAAGTGCAAAATACCGGATTTTTAGTGACATTAAACCTCTCGATGGGACCCAGAGGTTTACAGGTTAGGGTGTTCATCGGACCGTTAGGTGTGACTACTAACGGACCTTCCGGTGCCGGCGTAACAGAAATAGGTGGGCGGAGGGTTATGGTGAATGAGATCTCGTCGGTGCCCCCAGAGTTAACGGCAACGAGAGTATAGGTGCCCACATGTTGTTTGTCGATTGAAGTTATGTCTAAAATGGCTTTATTCCCATCTGATATGAGTATAGCATTCATCCCTTTCCCGTCGGTTGGCTGTCCATTGAATTTCCATTGGATTTGGGCCTTAACTTCCCCTCTGATCGGTATTTCTAGTTTTACGGGCGCTCCGGGATCTGTGGTTATGTTTTTGATCTTCGACTTATCAATGGACGGACCGGTAGTTACCGGTAATATGACTGTCATTTGTGTCGGCTATTAATGGGTTATTGGTTAGTAAAGCTTCATCAATGATAGCATAAGTATGACATACCAGTGAGGGCTCACTCAAAGACCCACTATTCACAGCCCTAACCCTAAACCGATAAATTTGATTGGTTTTCAAGTCACCCAAAACCGTTTTGGGTTCGGCATCGGGTGTTTGGGTGGCGTTAACCCACGGCCCGCTCGGGTACTCCTGCGACTCAACCACATAGTTAGTGATGGGAGAGTTGACGGGGTCGGGAGNAAGTCACCCAAAACCGTTTTGGGTTCGGCATCGGGTGTTTGGGTGGCGTTAACCCACGGCCCGCTCGGGTACTCCTGCGACTCAACCACATAGTTAGTGATGGGAGAGTTGACGGGGTCGGGAGGGGACGACCACTCCAACACAGCGCTCCCTATATTGTTGACCACTTTGACACCAATGGGCGGTGAGGGCGGTGAGGGTTCGCCCTGGGACTGGTCCAGTGCAGGTGATAAACCCTTTTCATTCATGGCTTTCACACGGAATACAGTGTCGGGAGGCGTGGCGTCGATTGTGGTTTGGGCACAGAGGGGGTCGTCCGGCACATGACACTCCACTACTGACACAATGATCCAGACGTCTGTGAGTTTGTCAAACTTTTCAAACGAGTAGCCAATAATGGGTTTACGGCCATTACTGGCCGGGGGTTTAGCCGAGAGTATAGTTTTGGTGGGCGTGTGATTGATAGTCAGTGGACCGGTAGGTGCTGTGGGAACAGATACAGATGATAGATTCAACTGCGCCGCCGATAACCAAAATGTGGTGTAAGGCTCGGAAACGCCGTACGAATTGCTGGCAGTGATTATGAACCGGAATTGGTTTCCGTAATCAATGTCTTTGCCGTTGATATAGACTTTGGGCTCCAATGTTTTGCCTATAAATTGGAGTTCATTTGAATTGTTTGTTTGTTTTTTTATTGAATATTCTGTAATCGGTCCGCAAGTATACAGCGGTGGCCGCCATTTGACGGTAAACTATATATTTTGAACAGAATTTAGTACAAAAATTGAATTAATAAAAGACATTTCAAATTATACCCCATTTTCTGATATATTCGAAGCATATATAGGCCCATCCGGTACTCCCGGTGCCGACGCATTAGTTTTAAATACAGGTATCGTTGCATTGATTGCATTTGTGATACACTTTCCGTCGTATGCCTTCACTCGGAAACTATATTCTGTCAAACACTGCAAATCCTCCACCGAATAGTTATTATCAGTGGTATTGCCAAAGGTATCCCACCTACCGGTGCTCGTATTACGGTTCTCAACCTGAATTATCCAAAAATTGGTTAATTTAAAAATGAATTCATAACTAAAACTAATTTCTAATAAATTGCTTACGATATAAATAATGGGTTTAGTGGCGGTGCCATTAAAGGCTGTCCACTGCAACTCCAGTCCCGTGTCTGTCATATTAGACACGTCTACCATTCCGTACAATTGCCGTTGAGAGCAGTCATTCTTATCACCGGTGGTGTTGACCCAATCGGATATCAATGGCTCCGACTCTCCCACAGCATTGAGGGCTCGGATGCGGAACCGGAATTGCGATCTCTTCACAAGATTCGTGACCCTAACCCTCGTTTTGGTGGTATT